TTACGTATATATATATATATATATATATATATATATATATATATATGTGTGTGTGTGTGTGTGTGAGTAACCACCCACCCATCCAGTCTTCTCTCTTCGACTGGGTTGTTTCTCTTAGGTTTTCTTCAGTGTGTTTTAGTTTCTTGCTTTGAGATATGATCAATGTTTGTACAAAGGTTGACTCTACATTCCAAGTTGTTGAATAACTGGCTTATTATACAGTTGTACATCTGCGGGTCGCGGGATCGAAACCCCGTCACAATAAACGAATTCTTACAAGCTTTGTATTTTTTATTTGGTAACACGTGTATAATTTGACCAACATGAATGATGTCTTTCAGCAAACGGCCCAGCATGGCCAGGTGGTTAAAACGCTCGACTCGCAATCCGCGAGTCGCGGGTTCGAATTCCCATCACATCAAACATGCTCACCCTTTCAGCATTGGGAGCGTTATAATGTGACGGTTAATCCCACTATTTTTTGGTAAAGAGTAGTCCAAAGGTTGGCGTTAAGTTATATTGACTAGCTGCCTTCCAACTGGTCTATAACTTCAAAACTAGTGACGGCTAGTGCGAAATCAAATAAACAAAATTAACTTGTGGGACAGATTTTGTTCGCGATTATCAGGAAACAAACGGTTTCTCATTTATATCTAAATGTATATCATAATTATACAAGTGTACACATATTTACGAATATGTTTGTACTTAATGAATTTTGATATTACGTTATATTTTTAATGCGTTTACAACACGCTAGTAGTTCGTGGCAGTGTTGTATGCTAAACTTTCATATAGTTTTAAGTCTTACAAATATAATTTTTTAAGTTCTACATTAGCCTAGATTGTAGCTTCTATAGCAGAAGCCAATCCAGGTTGTATTCTCCATCATGTGAAATAGTTGTACTGGTTGACCAATAATGAGCGCAGTGGCTGTTTCTCTCCTGTACGTGATTGGTCATGCTACAGAAAGTTTATGCGTATTGTGGCTTGTTTTGTTTTGAATTTCGCGCAAAGCTACACGAGGGCTATCTGCGCTAGCCGTCCCTAATTTAGCAGTGAAAGACTAGAGGTAAGGCAACTAACCCTTGAGCAACTCTTACCAACAAATAGTGGGATTGACTGTCACATTATAACGGCTGAAAGGGCGAGTATGTTTGGTGGGACGGGGATTCGTATTATGTATATAAGATGATAAATGTACACTTCGAAAAAATCTGTTTCGCTTCTTCATGCTACTAATATGCAAAATGTATTGTTTATTATGGGCTACCCTGTACATTCGACAGCGTAGAAGTAAAGATATGACGTACGTCTTTATATCACACTTTTATACATACGTAAGATTCAAGTTATATTTCTTTTATGTTAAGATGTAAATATCATTTGTAGAATACTTTTACACGTAGGTAAGATGCAACTTGTATATATTTTATGTTAAGATGTAAATATCATTTGTAGAATACTTTTACACGTAGGTAAATTCAAGTTATTCTTCGTAAAAGAAAGTTGTTGTAGTTGAATCTATTCTAGCTGGAGACTTTTCATGATTAGCTAAATAACTAACCCTTGACGTAAAAATCACAACATGCCAATTGATGTTTCACAGTTGTTGTTTTTATTTTGTTAAACACAAATTCACATGTTATATATCAAATGTTAAAGTATAATCTGGTTGAGTCAATCTTCAATGTATGTGTTAATCTTAGCAATGTTTCACAGTTGTTGTTTTTACTTTGTTAAACACAAATTCACATGTTATATATCAAATGTTAAAGTATAATCTGGTTGAGTCAATCTTCAACGTATGTGTTCATCTTAGCAATGTTTCACAGTTGTTGTTTTTACTTTGTTAAACACAAATTCACATGTTATATATCAAATGCTAAAGTATAATCTGGTTGAGTCAATCTTCACCGTATGTGTTAATCTTAGCAATGTTTCACAGTTGTTGTTTTTACTTTGTTAAACACAAATTCACATGTTATATATCAAATGCTAAAGTATAATCTGGTTGAATCAATCTTCAATGTATGTGTTAATCTTAGCAATGTTTCACAGTTGTTGTTTTTTATTTTGAACCAACATAATGCTCAGCCTACATCGTAGATAAACCTTGCCACGTTTGTACGTACATGTCAATCTTCAACGTATGTGTTAATCTTAGCAAACACAAATTCACGTGTTATATATCAAATGTTAAAGTATAATCTGGTTGAGAACAAAGTTCCAGTGTACAAAATGGCGTGAAATGAAACAGTAATGATTCTATTTCCTTTTAGGACAGTACCTTAGTCAAACAAAGACATGCTCTGCTGAGACAACACACGTTTTTCCAGCTTGACGTTCATCTTCAATCTGGAAAGGATCTGGTTGTTAAAGACACCTGTGGTAAGTTGTTCCTAGGATCCGCTGTTCTATGATCATTTAACCCGCAGATCACCAACTGTTTTACGTGCTGTTTACTACCATTGGGGTTCACGTTATTGCATCGTATTAAGTTGGGTGAAATCTCCCATTTTGTGTGTAAAATAATAGGAAACTCGTGTAGTAACAATAATATTAAAAATTGTTAATTTAAAAAGGGGGAATAGGGATCGTCAAAAAAATAAATAGAGAAACAAATTGAATCCAAATGCACATAGTGTCTACAATATTTTCTGAAGCCACAAATCCTTATTTTGACTTCATGTCTATAGTACTTATCAATTTTAGTGGAGTCAACATAGGGGATTTTTAGCTTGAGAAAATAATGGAGGCTTGAAAATATAATATTTGCATTTTGATTCAACTTGTTACTGTTTTTAGATTCTTAGTTTCTGTCGTTCCTAGTGGAACATAGGGTTACAACAACACTTCGCCGACGGAAGTGTTTTTGTTGCAGTTTCCAAAGCAGATTTTTTTTGTTATCGGGGTGGAGTTGCTAGCCCAAGTTTGGTGCGACAAGGACGCGAACCCGCGACCCTCGGATTGCGAGCTGAGTGACTTATCCACCGGGCCATGCCGGGCCCCCTTTTTAGATTAACACGTTTATATTATTTTTTTCTTAATTTTTTCATGTCCATTTATGTAGAATGAATTTTAAGCTACATATGTATTCAGTTGATTATTACATGTTTTTCAACAGTTTACTGCTGCATTGCCTTTTTTTCTCCACCCAGCCATTATTTACTGAGCTAGGTGGTTTTTGCGCCTGAGGTTTCGTGTAAACATGCTATTAACAAGTGTTGAGTACGAAGGAAACCGCTCACTTTCAATGAAACATAATCAACTTTTTAAATAGGTCATGGACATTCACAGCGTTTCATCTAGTGTATCTGTCTAAGTTTTGGTACAAAATACCCAACCGATTTTGCTGTAGGCTTGTGAAATAAAAAATATGGTTAATACTACTACTAATTTACACACTCCAAAGAGTAGAGAAATCTACTATAATAATTGATTACTGTAAGAAAACTCACTTTATTAGTCGCAGAAAACCACGTGAGATAAAGTACAACAGAGAACTCGAAAAACAATGAAGAACAACGAACGTGGCAGTTTCCAAGATAGCATATACCCTTTACATAGTGTTATTTAGGTTTGGTTTTTTTTATCAGAAAAAAAACAACAACTTCATACTATGCATTTTGTATAAAAATATACTGAAATAGGTAAAAAGGCGTGTTCAGGCACATGTTGTGTAACATTACTACTGTGGCTAATTTGCATATTATAAAAATAAAGAAATACAAAATAAATGTCTTATGTTCCTGACAACTTCTATAAAACTGAATGCCCTTGAAAATGGGTCCAGACTTTGATGAGATGCGAAGAATTAGTTTGAACTAAGGAAAACTCTGAAAATTAATTTAAGGTCAAATTACTGCATTAATGAGTATGCCTTAAAAAGGACATATGCTACAGTGACTCGTTAATGGTCATTTATTAATAAAAACCAAACCTCTTATCAACTTTACCTTATCACACACTATAGATACACTAATAATAATGTATATTTTGCCATGTATAGCATTAACAGATCTGAAGTTATGAAAATGTCAATTGTCAGATTTTGTGAAAAACGTGTTTGAAAATTTGGTATAAAATTGTCACTTTACGGGTCTTTGTCCAGTTGAAAAAAGGTATACCACATACTGCAAATTAATATGTATTAAAGGGTGTATGCTACCTTAATGCGCTATAAGTTGTAAAAGTTATTTTTAAATTAGTGCGCATTAGTAAAACACCGGATTTTTTTTAATGGCGGAAAATGAGTGGCTTAGAATATTCTTCAGAGCGAAAAACGGAAGACGCTTGAATTAATTTTAAGACCACCCTATGATATACTCAATACTGCATTCATTACTATTGTACAGGTTTGTTTCAGTAAAATATTCGTAGCCGTTTTTCTGTAGCGGCTTGTAAAAATATAATCAACAATAATAAGGCTGGAGACACTGTTATAAGTATACACATTGTTTACTCTAATAAAACCAAGCATTTCCAACTAGTATAAGAGTGCTTAAATGTCTTCTATATTTCTGCGATGTTTGAATGGCTTCGAAGAGCTTATGTTGATAGCGAAGAACAACTTAGAAAATTTTAGAGGGTGGAAATTTCGACTTTCAAGAATCAACTTTAAAATATCCCTACAACCTACGCAGGAGTTTGTTTAATAACTGTACGCAGATTTTGGCGCAGTATACCTAGCCGTTTTTGCTGTAGGTTTGTGCTTGAATGGCTTCCAAGATAAACTTGGCTAGTAATGATGAAAAAATAAAATCTCTCCTTCTCTTTCAAAAATCAACATAAAGATGGTTTTATGACATCTGCAGAAGTTTTGTTAGTAGATTTGCCCAGTTTGAATAAAATATTCATAGCCGTTTTTGTTTTTTTTTCTGTAGACTTATGAAACAAGAATAATAATAATGATATGAAGAACAAATGGAGGAATTTTGTCTAACAATCGGAAAATAAACTTGTTTGTTATTACCAATATTTTAGCAGCCTTAGCCAGTTAGATAGATAATCTTGAGTGTTGTTTCAAGAACAGGTCTGTTTTTTAAGATAGTTTTTGCCCGATGTTCTTGTACAATTTTTGTGAAATTCCTAGACGAACCCTATTATTAACCACTATAGTGGTTCATGGTTAATTGAATATATTGCAGTATTGAATATATTTTTGTATAATTTTGTTTGTAAGGCTCGTATAGTATTAGAAAAACAAAACAAAAAACTGTCTGAAAAGTTGATGGGGCTGATACGAATGGCAGGGGTAGGAGTAAACTTCAGCTGAGAAAACTTTATTTTCCGAACAGGGTATGGTGGATGCATTTAATTTAAGGGAGTTTAAGGGAAAGCTTGATAAATATTTGAATGGTAAGAGTTGGCTTTGAGTTTCTTCTTGTTTGTTTTTAAGGGTTTAGTTAAATTTAGTAGATAGGACAGCCAAGATGGACCGAAATGTTTCTTTATTGCCATTTAATGTTATGTTATACTGTGCCTGTATTTGCCGTTATAAAGTTCGTATCAACATCTTTTTTTCGTAGTTTTTAGTAATCAGTTGTTCATACACTTATTTTCATGTTAAATTTGATTTAAAAAGAAGCTTGCGATGAGTTGTTTATATAAACTTATTTCACTAATTATGTCAGTGTTCAAGTTATTCATCAATGTTAATGTTTTGGTTAAAATGATTTTTTGAACTGATCATTCTTAGCTTGCCTCTGACGAAGAAAGGTCCACCTTTCGAAAGCTCTCGGAGGGTATCGTATTCTTGACATCATGTATCGACGTTTGTTAACGATGATTGTAGTTAAACTTTATCACCTGCATTCTTAAATATGTTGCTTGTTCTCTGTTCAATTCCTTAATATTTAGCTTCGTACTGCTGAACAATAATTGGTTTCTAGAGTAAAGCTGGCTTGGTTGGTTGTTTCTGTTCGTATAGCTGAACAATAATTGTTTCTAGAGTAAAGCTGTCTTGGTTGGTTGTCTCTGTTCGTACCGTTAAACAATAACTGTTTCTAGAGTAAAGCTGGCTTGGTTGGTTGTTTCTGTTCGTGCAGCTGAACAATAACTGTTTCTAGAGTAAAGCTGGCTTGGTTGGTTGTTTCTGTTCGTACCGCTGAACAATAAATGTTTCTATAGTAAAGATGGCTTGGTTGGTTGTTTCTGTTCGTACCGCTGAACAATAATTGTTTCTATAGTAAAGATGACTTGGTTGACTAATAATAAAATTACTTTTTGATAGTATGTGGTGGCTTGTCAATACTATTCAGGCCCATACGGGGGGGGGGTCTAATTTGTGAGATCAAAAGCCAACACATATTGTGATAAGCTCAATAAGCATGCACCCCTCTAAAACCCCGCTATCACTCTTCAGTACATTCATTATTCGATGATACAGCTATTTTGATTAGTTAATATTAGTGCTACTAAAGCTGTTACTAAAGAATACTAAAGATAAGTTAAAGCTGCTTTGCTCTGTGTCGGGCTGCGGATCTGAGGAGCCGGGGTTCGAGACGTGATGCTGGTAATCACAATTCATAGTTTCAACTGTGGGCGCATCACAGGTGATAATTAAACCCGTTATCCGGTTCAAAGCCAAACGGATGTCTTCTTTCTGGTCAGTAGTTCAGATCTGGGGGGTCGATAGGCTTAGCCCATTTTGTGCAGGTTCAAAGTTTCAATTCACCAATATCATCAGTGGCAGTGAAGGCGCTGAAGTACGTGAGTAACACCCGGTAAGTCGAGAGTAATTGCGCGGTTTGCATGTGCAGTATTTACGCTAGTAAAAGGATTAGTAACAGTATCTATCTTTCAACATTCGGTATACACCTTTACAAAAATTGAGAAAAACAGTTACGTGAATATACCATACCAGACAAAAGATATCTAAAGGAAAAACACCTTAGGTGTGGAAAAAGATATATCCCAAACTATAATTATGAAAGAGTGAAATTTACGACTATTTCAATCATTATACTCTCGAGTATCGCTATAGCCTTTATTTTCTTATTTTCGTATACAAACAATTTAACACACAACATGTTTATTTTGTACCTTAAATAAACAACTGCATGGAAAATACAAAAACGTAAAATACATTTCAAAATAGTTTATCTTTTATAATTATGAATTGCTAGCTTTGAATTTCGTTCTATGTTTTTAACAACTTTTGTTTAATTTATACACCAGGAAACCAAATTATGCAGTTTCCGTTCTTTCCTGATGATATTCCCTCACTAGCTTCTTTTGTCACGTGCCAACACGTGGAAACAGTGGCACAGCGGCATGTCTGCGGACTTGCAACGCTAGAATCCGGGTTTCGATACCCGTG